AAAAACGAAAAAAAAGGAAAAGGACGCTTTCTTTGAGGTACAAGCGAAAGTACAGTGGCTGTTGAATGAATGCATGCTGGGTAGCATCCTTTCACCCAGTCTCCAGCTTGCTGTATCTTTCTTCTTTACTTTCTTCTTTACTTTTTGTCTTTTTGTGCCCTCGTGTTCTCCCTTCGTTTCTTTTTTGATCACTCGCTTTTGGAATACCCTTTTTGTTGTATCCTCATTCGTTCAGCCTCACCTTCGACGGTCTGTGATCTCATCCGACTTTTGGCCCCGTAAAGCGGCACGTTGTTGTCATGAGCACTTAGCACTTTGACCGTTTCTCTTTTAACGTGATACGCCCTCAAGGGCATACTTCTCTAATCCCTTCACCTTCGTTTCTCTCTTAGTCTCTCGTTTTGATGGTCAGACCTGTGAGGTTGACCTGCAATATCTAATCAGGATGGCGGAAATCCTCCACGTCTCAGCCCTCGGCTGGGATAAAATGAAAGATCATTGGTGGCAGTTTGTAAGTAGTGGTTGCATATATATTTCAAATATCACTGACTAATGCTATGTTAGGTGTTCATCGCTATCTTAATAGCTTGTGTTGCTACAGGATCCTTGTGGCTTCTGTACTCTGGCACGAAGAGACTGCGCAACTACATCAAGGTAGAGCTTCCTTTATCTGCTTGTGAATGCGTATCTGATCTGTCGCTCACCTGATCCAAATCACAGACAAGGCCACGCTCAGAGAAAGTGCCGCCCAATGTATCTCAACGGTTGGTTACTCTTTCCAACAAGTTGCTCAATGTGCCAAATATTCAAAGACGCAAGCCGTCTTCTTTTGGTATCTATCTTGGTTCATTCAGTTCCCCGCCGGATCGGGATCAGCTCCGGCTCTTGAATGAATGGGATCTGTTGATTGTTGATCCTTTTCAGTCGGGCACGGCCCAAGCAATTCGCGATGTGGAGGGCAAGCAATTATTGGGAAGAGTTGACCTTGATCTTGTCCTCTCCAAGGCTGAGTCGACATTGTCAGCAATCGAAAAGATCGATAACCTTCTTACAGGCACATTCGATAGTGCTAACTTCAGCGGTATGGTTCTGGCCAATTGGGAAGGAAAGTTTCCCGCCTCGGTGTTCACTAAACTCGTCGAGGTGATCGATGAGTTGGGTCTGGCAGTCTACCTTGAGACCGCACCCCCAGACTTTCTAAAGGATCGCAACTCCATGCAGAGCCCTGCCATTTCCGGAATCGTTATTCAAAATGCCAGTATACTGCCAGAAGGCCAGAAGCGCGACTATTTTCAACTCGTGAAGATGCAGCCCACTATCAAGGCGTTCGTCTCCGAAGCTTGTGTGAGAGATTTCGTGGTGATGGCGTGGGAGACAATCGACGACAATGCCACATTGTCGAATGCTGTCGTCCAAAGGTCTCTTCAATGGTGTAACTTTTACAGTGCGATTCCATGGATTGGCCAGAAGTCGGCTCTCACAAACGCTGCCCTTAACGTCAAGATCTCAGAGCCTCTACCCTCTTTTGGATGGCTGAAAGATGCCGAAATCATCAAAGCTCATGATCGCTGGCGCTCAAATTTGCATATCAAGAACGATGTATCCGACACGAGCGCTTGGAATACATTGTTGCCATTTTTTCCTACCCTGGAAGAATTGCTTACCTCGTCGGAATATGCTCAACCTGAGAACAACGAACTGACGACAAAACTCCGCGATCCACCGGAGTGGGTAGCACAGGTGAAGTCTCTGGGGAGTCCACTTTCCATATCAATGGCAGGTATTGAATACAACTCTCTTGGTTGCTTCCCGCTTGGATCTGAGGCGACAGCACTTGCCTTTGCCGAAGTCCTTCAGTCACAACTGCGCCTTAAATCACTGGGCTTGCTCCATCCGGTTCCTGCTTCCAAGATTCAGAGCATCGGTTTACTCCTCAAGAAATTTCACGAATCTTATATGCTTCCCAATGCAACCAGCTCAGATCCTTACGCTGTTACAAACGCAACCTCGGACCAACTGGCGACTTCCATCAAGGAACTATCTACTCTGGCAACGAACGGCTCATTGCAGGTCAACCTTGGACTGGACTCAGGACTTCGTAAGAGTGTCGACATGCGCTTTTGGGCAGTTTACCAGATGGAATCGGATGGGTTTGAAGTTTTTGCTTCGAAAAAAGCCCAAGGTTTAGCAGGAACCGTACTGCATACGTTCTTGTCTGCAAAAGGATACTCCCGCCACGTTTGTTTTGAGGTAGAAACTGCTTTAGCCAAATGGTCCCAGGACCTCGGCGATGATACCGGACTTCCTCGCCGATTTGTCCAAGACATCGACATGCTGAGCCCCGAAGAGCGACTGCTTCTATTTCAGCATCTCTCCTTGACCGACTCATACAGCGAGCTCTCCGACAGTATTTGTGCATACATTCGCAGACTGCTTATTGATGCACCTTCACTCGCTCAGCTGAAGGAGCTTAACACCGTTTCGTATCTTGAAGGCTCGGCTTCTCCCGAAGTGTTGGTTAATAGCCGCATCAAATGGTATCGAGAACAGGGATGCCAACATCCGTCTGCCTCTAAATGTCTCGCATTATTCTATCAAACAGATGCCGCTTTTACTCAGATCCTGAGGGAGCACCGCGAGGAAGACCTTGCTTTGGTATCGAAGGCCTTCTGCCAGCTGCTTCAAAATGATCACATCGATGCTTATACTGATATCATGGCACTGGCACTTTTCTGCGCTGCGAGGAAAGGAGCAATCGACGAGATTTATAATGAAGTGACCGATCGTAACCCGTTGTTCAACAATCAATCAGACCAAGCGGCTGCTTTCTCAGAATCATTTGCTTTAGGATCACGCTGCGAGGTCTACTTTGATGTTCAGCCTAGCGCCTTTGGAAAGCTGCTCTCGGATCGTTTCAGAAGAGAGTACAACGATGAGAAGCTCCCCGATTGGATTAATGGCGCCCCTGAAATGGCCACATCTTATGCTGGTGCCCAAATTGACGTTAACCCGGATGACAAGGTCAAGCCGATGCCTGGCTACCAGCGATTTACTTTCCTCGGTGTTTTCGCATTCCCAGCGTTGATTGACATCATTCTGCTCACAATTATCGGCCGTGGTCTATACCTTTCAGCCTTTATGACCCATGACGAGCTACAGAGTGCCACTATCGCTTTGATGATTTCCCTTCTCTTATCTGGTGCAATCGGTACAATGATCGCGTGTGGAGGACCCTACTATCTCATTTCGATGGCCTTCGCAGCTTCAAATATGTTCGTCCTTATCCGATTAATTGCTGGCATTGCGTTCACAATTGCCGCCGGCTTAATTGGATTCATCGTTATCTCTGGCGTGAAAAGCCCACAGGCTGGCATTATCTTCTATCTTTACCTCGTCGCCTTGACCATCTACCTGACGACCTTCGCTACCCTCGCCAGCTTTAGCTACCCCGGAACCGGTTTCTTGTCCGGACGCAAAGTGATCTTCAGCTGCATCCCCATTCTCTTCGTCTCGCCTATCATCACTACTTGGAGCGGCCACGATTCAGCTATATATCTTGCTGTGCTATACGTGTTCATCGGATTTTTGCTTCTCGGCTTGCGATCAGTAGCCTCTAAATGGGTGACTTGGTATCAGAACATCAGGAGGACTGACGACACGGAAATCCGGAAATGGTATATTGCCACATACGGTAATAACGATGAGAAGGTTTTTGGAAGCCTGAGTGACCCGGCTGTCTTGAAACTGTCAAGAGATGCTCTCTACAAGGATGTCTTGGCTGAGAACTCCCGGAGCTTCTTCTCTAAGCCCACAACTGATACACTAGTCCGCGAGCTTGCCAGAGATTGGGATTCGACAAATTTCCTCCTAGACTGGTACTGTCGTTATGCTGATGTGCCCCGGCCGATTCCGTTCAGTTCTTCCTGGAATATCCAGACCAAGGTCGGGTTAGATGTGCTTCGGAACTCCCAGAAAGGAATCCGGTTGCATAATGCCTTCATCCATTGGCGCCAATCGAGCAAAGAAATAGGTTGTGGAATCTTGTACTTTATCATAGCCCTTCTAGACAAATGGGTTGAGTTATTGAGTGGCGGACAGCTCGTTGGTCTCTCGACCTCCCTTTCTGATGCCAATCGAATGGCAGTCGGATTTGGATTGGCCTACTACCTCATAGGGGCCGTTCTCATCGATACCAAGGCCCAGGAACTCCATGATCTTGTGGGCCAGCATTCAGCTGTTGCTGTGGGATCGGCCAAGGAGATACGTCCCTCACAAAAGCGAGACGTGAGATTCAAGAGAAAAGTCTACTGGAAGACCTTTTTCAAGTTTCTTATGTGGCTGGTGTGGAGCTTGGCTATTGCAACGGCTTTGATCTGGACTTTCCAAGCACCAGTGCAAGCGATGATTATGTTTTTCGCTTATGTACTGTCCTATACCGGCCTTCTTTGGTACCAATATACGAAGATCTTCACCGGCCCGCACGCCCTCATACCACTGATGACCGGTGTGGTCGTCGGATTGCCTGTCGGTATCGCCCTCAAAGTATGCCTTGGTAATAACTTCTTGTATTCTCAGGTGATTGGTCTAGGAGCAGCCACATGGACAGTGGCTATTCTCTCCCTTTTCACTGCCAAGATGGGCATGCCCAAGAAAGTTGACTCACCCGTGGAGCTTGGGAAGACATTCCACGCATATACCGCCTCGTGGGCGGATCCTGAGTGGTCCCAACAAGAGTTACAGACATTCTTTGAAGGAATGTCAGTCGTTCCTGCTGATGCGCGGTTGAAACTTGTGCCGGGCTCCCATCCCGGTGTTGAAGTTAAGACTATTCTACTTTCGCGCAAGATAGAACCCAGGATTGAAGAGGCCTTCCCGGAATCGGAAAAGCTCATCAGTACGGCGCTGGGTGCCTGGGAAAGGGGCGAAATAACCCTTGAACTTGTGCCGTTGGGTTCGCTTGGCCCTAACATTCAGGCACTGAGCTGCAGTATGTCTGGTCGTCTGCAGATCGCAATTTGCGTTGGACGAGGACTAGACGAGCGGATTGATGTCAGTGCTAACTGCCAGGTTATTGCTGAGACTCTACTCCACGCGGTCGCAGAATCAATAATGCGAATGCCCCACGAGTATGCCGTGCTTTCTGAATCGCTCGTTACAGCAGGAGTGACTGAAACGACCGCCCGACAACTCCGAGAGGAACCAGATACTCCACTCGTCGTACGCTGGGCAAAGAAGGAGCTTCTGCGGCAGCTGTGTCTAGGATTCGAGTGTGACGCTCATTGGGAAAAGCTGCCTCAGAATATTAGGAACATGTTATTGGATCGTTGTCTTGGTAGGCCATGTCTACTATCCGAGGGCAGCCAACAATGGCTTGAAACGAGTCTTTGTCGGTTTGACACAAGCGACTTGAATGTGCACGTTGCTCGCTGCAACCTGGGAGCTGCGACTGCTGTTAGTATCCTTGACTACGCGAATTACGGAACCGGTGAAGCAGGAGCCATCAAGGATCCGGAAATCCCAATATATATCCCAGAGATCCCGAAGAAGCTTCCTATGGCTATGTCCATCATCCAGAAGCCGTTGAGTTATGTTTATCACTCTATTGGCTCTGGGGTCAAGTTCTTCATCGCTGCTTTACTTGCGGATTCCGAATTCCAGAGGGAATTCGATCATGTCATGAGTGAGCGACACACGTTGATTCGGGTACCGCTTGTGTTTTTGATGAACATGATTTGGCTGTATTTCAAAATGGTGCAAGATATCGGTTTGTCATTTTTCTTATTCCATGGCCGATCCAACGTGAAGCGGCTGTGGAACGAAACTAAGGGTATCACCGTTAGCATCAAGAAGAGTCGCTTTGTTGTGCAGAGCTTGGAAGGTACCTTTACTTCTTTCAGACACAACGAGCCCGACGGCGGTTACAAGGTATACTATTACTCGGGAGAGCACAAGACAGAGCCAGAGGGTATGAAGCTTCTTAAATATGTCAGTACATATTCAAAGGACATGCTTCTACTCATTCGTCAAGAGTTCAAGGACGGCAAAGTGCTCAACGAGTACCACTACGACTACCGCACTCCAACAAAGAAGAGCTTTACCCTATCCAAGGCGTGGGCGACCAGAATCCCCTTGGGTCGGCGTTGCGTACGCGGACAGAACAACTTGGAAAGTGTTCAGTACAACCGCAAAGGTCTCATCGAAGCGGGCTCCTACATGAAGGATGGAAACCTTATTCGCTTCAAATATCATTACCGCAAGAACCCTCGCTTCGGTGATGAGCTGTTGCGCGCTGAGTTTTCGTTGACACATATCACTTGCACAGTTTCCTGGTGCGCGCCTCCTCTTCGCCATCCGGAAAAGGTTGAGCGATGGATCCCTCATTCTAAGGTCACCGAAGCGACATTTGTCCAAGGAGCTGATGTCTACGAGGCTCGTTGGCTGTACGATCACAAGTTTCATCCCACAATTTTCACGACACTCAATGGACAGAAGGTGCAGACACCTCCGATGATCGAGCACGACTTCATAGGGGTGCTCGCCAAACCCAAGCAAACTAGCTTTGCGAACGATAACCCTCTTTTATACTGCGACAGCCTCAATTCGAATGCTGTTACCCGTTTCCTAGGACTGACAACTAAGCGCTTCCCAGTATCCACTTCTCGTGCTCGTTCATTGCTATGGAAGTCTTGGAAAGACCGCGTAGACTTCGATGCAATTATGGTCCGTTGGATGGATGAGCGACTCCTGCGAAGAGACAAGACCTTGGCTCCCTACTGGCGTGCTCGTAACCGTGGTGATCTTGCAGCGGCGAAGAAGTATCTGGAACTTCGCGCGGACGCCATCACCGCCAGCGCTGATTTGGATGACAATATCTCCAGCTGGACGCCTCTTGCGGTGAAGATTAGCGATCTTTTCAACTTCGGACCCGGAGGCGATGCTGTGGTCCACACCAGATCTAAGGACTTCGGCTCTGACACTGACAAGTCGATGCATGTCATGGCTGCTGATAATGGTACTTGGCCGAACGAAGGAGGCGGTGTCTCTGCCTGTCGACGTGATATGATTAACTCGCTAAGGACCGTCAAGTGGCACATGATTTGCGAATCAGCAAATGACTTTGGTCTTCCTAAGCACCAGACGGAGCAAAATGTCCTTTCGTTGAAAGTGGTCCCTCTTTGGGGCTTGGACTTCCTCACTCCTACACATGGCCTGTTCAGGAACAAACTCGACTCGGAAGTTGAAAATGTTACATCCGCCAGTGACATGGATATCAAGCTTAACTTCATCCCAATTCTGACAGCTCTGGTGAAGGGAGCGCGTGCGACTCACCTTTCAAAGGCTGATATCAACCAGGCGACTCGGGCTTTGGTCAACTTGAACACATACTTCCAGGACTCGCGGCATTGGACTCAGATTTGGAACAGTGATCTTGTCAAAGAAAGCTGGAGAGACCTTTGGCTTACTCAAGAGATGCCTAATACTGTTCCATCATCTCAGTGGTTCCGCACCGAACTTCCAACCCTGACATCACTTGATACTGCCTTGGAGCTTTGGTATCGGTATCTCTTCATTTTCTCTATTCCAATTCCCGAGAAGATACCCAGTGTCTTTCAAGCATCGCATCACAGTGTTAGTGCATCCTACGGGGTTGTATGCAAGATGAAGAGAAACTGCACCTTACAGATTTGGGATCACGCCATTAGTTGGCGTGAAACCAACCTCTGTCTGTCGTCCGCCCTGTGCAAGCTTTCTCCATTCGTTCGCAATGCTCTCTTAGGTTTAATGCGGATCACTTCAGCTCTTACTTTGCATCATGCCGATATCATTCTTCCTTGCGCCGATTTCTTCAATCCCGGCTGGGAGGTTGAAATTGGTACCTGCCAAGGAACCATTGAACATCGCAACGTTTTCCGCAGGAAGGTCGACCCCGTTGTCAATGGTATCACTGACATGCAAAAGTTTGCCCCTGTGAAGGAGATTAAGTCTCAGCGCCCGACAGTTACCATGTTGTCGCACGTGTGGTATGCCAAGGATATCAAGATCGCTCTTCTTGCCGCCGACATCATTATCAATCAGTGGAAGTTTGATGATTATCACCTAGATATTTATGGGGCCATCGACAAGGCGCCGACGTACTCTACTGAATGTCAAGAAATCATCGCCTCCAAGGGTCTTCGAGGCAAGGTTACTCTTCGTGGTACTGCTGATCCGATGAAGGTTCTCGAAAACACCTGGCTTTTCCTCAACTCGTCACTGTCCGAAGGTCTGCCCTTGGCCCTAGGTGAAGCTGCTCTGACCGGTGCCCCCGTGGTTTGTACCGATGTTGGTGCGTCTCTTCGTGTTCTGAGCGACCCAGACGACTTCTCTCGTTACAGTGCCGTCGTCGCACCCAATGACGCCCACGCCCTCGCAAAAGCGCAAATCACCATGCTCGGCCTTTTGGGCGAATGGAGCAAGTATACTGATGACACTGAGCCGGCGCCTGTGCTCACTTCATCTCCAACATCGGAGGACGTTGCCAAGATCACCCGTCGCATGTACGAGAAGAGCGAATACCGCCGCAAACTCGGCATGATGACCCGCGATATCGTTCAGAAATCATTCAGTGGCGACCGGTACCTCCGTGAGCACGAGCAGATGTTGTGGATCGGCAAATCTGCCAAGATCATGGCCAACCGAGTTGGAGGAGCCATCACCGAGCCCACAGACATTGCAACTGCCATGCGCCAGACTCTCCCGATCGAAGAAGAAGTCATCACCATCCCTCGCAGCGCTGTGCACTCGTGGCGTTCATCTGCTGCATCGGGCATGTCGACGGTGTACAGTGAGGTTTCCAATTTCCCAATGCTCAATGGCTACCACCGCCCGTCCTCTATTCGCTCAGGTATAAGCGGTATCTCAACGGATACAGAGTCCTTCCTTCCTCTCCCCAGCAACGCCTCTCTCCCTGTGTTCGCTCCTCGTCAGACCCTAGGCTACCCTGGCACCCCTGACGGTCGTCTCTCACCTTCGGGGCGACTATCACCACTGCCAAACCCCAGGAATAGTGGTCGGCGATCCATGTCAACCGCTGGCCGCGAGCAGCTACGTGGTCTCGGACGCGAAGAATTGAACCCTTACCGCAATTCCGACGTCAGCACCATCATGAGAGACGAATTCCTTCAATCAAGCATCTACAAGAACATCGAAGGCAGCAGAAGCACCCCCAACATGATCTAAAACGAAAAGGAAAAAGGAAAAAGAAGCTGTCCCATCTAGTTCTCTTGGTTTCAAATCTCCCCCTTTTTTACTTTTCTATTTTTGCATATCATATGACTGATTTTGGACTAAACCCCCCGGTCTGCTAATCTGTTATTGTCTATACCAACCATATACCCCGAGATGATGAAGTGCTCGTTGTAAATACTTGCATCTTGCATATACTTTCCTTGACTCTGCATCAAACTTCATCATTACCACACTCATTGTTTTCCATCTTGGTTTGCTTTGGATAGCATTGCATGGCTTAACGGATCTAAATTGGATTATTCCCCTATTAATACCTGATAGACTATTGCATTTTCTAGCGTGAATTTTTACTGAATTATAACTTTTCTCAAGTCCCTCAAGTCTCTTGCTGGTCTATGGTTCTAGAACGCAATTTAGAGGAATCTATGGCTCTTGTAAGACTCGTGTTCATTGTGTAAACTGTAAGTATTAATATCACCAGGTATATATATAACATTCTCGGATTCCAAGATACATCAATGCGTAAGTACTGGCACAGAACGTTTAACACTATCCCAGATCGAATCCTCAGGAACGGGATTTGCAATCTGGTGCCATTCGCCGTTGAATGCGTTGACGAGCCAGTTAGATAGACCTGTGATTCTTGTTAGTTTATTCACCGCAGGCAGGACAAATCGGGACAAAGACGTACGCTCGTATATCATGAAATGCGCGTTGTGGAAGTAGATGTTATGATCGGAGTCGGGGTAGAAGTGCATGTCGTAGTTTTGTACATTGGACAAGTCCAGCTTGTCGACGAATGTTAAGGTGTTCTGGATATGTACATTGTCGTCTGAGGCGCCGTGTATAAGCAGGAAGCGCGTGGCTTCGGAGAGTGCAGACACGTTGGTGATGCTCGAGTTCTCGTAACCGGAGGGGTTATGTTCTGGTGTATGCATGTATCGTTCTGTGTAGACCGAGTCTGGGGGGCTCCAGTGTCAGTTACCTGGTCATGTTATTCATATTTGAGCGAAAGAGACTCACCATAGAACCGCCAGTCCGTGACGGGGGCGACGGCCATGCCATACTGGAATGTTTCACCGGCGTCTTGTTCGAGGACCTTTAGAGTCATGAATCCACCGTAGCTCCAGCCCCAAATTGCCATCCGCGTCTCGTCCACGTAGGGTTTCTTAGCCCACATTTTCGCGGTGGTGATCTGATCGTACGCTTCGTAATATCCTAGATTTCCCCGGACTGCGCATCTCACTTTCCGTCCGCTGTATCCTGTGCCCCTGGCGTCGAGGGTGACAACAATATATCCTAGGTTGGAGGCGATATAAGATTGGAAGTCGATCGTGAACTTGCGGTCCACTCTCTGTGAAGTCGGGCCGTTATACAGCTGGAAGACCACGGGGTACTTCTTAGCAGGATTAAAGTGTGGTGGGCGGCGCTCAACGAGCTGAAGCGTGAAGCCATCAATGGTTACGTTTTGGTAGACTTCAGTGGGAAGAGCAAATGTTTCCACCATTGAAGCCAGTCTGGAGTTCTCCTCGATAGTTTTCTCGAACGTGATCTCGTCGCCCTGGGTGTTGATGATGGCTTGCCATGGTACAGACGGCCCATTGTAGCTAAGCAACGCATATCCGGCGCCATCAGAGAAGGATACATCATAGAAGCCGGGTTTAGAGGTGTCGGTCAAGGGTTGAAGATTTGAACCGTCAAGCTGGACCCGGTATACGTGTCGCTGCGTCGGAGACTCCTTTGTAGCAACAAAGTAAACGATTCCCCTGCGCAAGTCCACGGCTGATGGTGCTTCCACGACTTCCCACTCTCCTGTGGTGAGCATGGTAGGATTCGGATTGTCAAGAGGCGTGAAGTAAGCTAGATGATCGTATCCATCATGAATGACTGTGTCGATGTAACCATCATCTGGTCGTCCGTTACTGGGGTCTGCGGGGATGAATTTGGTATAATGGGAAGGTTCAACCCAGCCACCGTCAAGATTGGCGATATCTTCGAATCTAACCAGCTTTCCTGTTCTCGCTTTCGTGTCAATCAGGAAGATCTTTACCGCGTCGCTTTCTCGGTTTGTGGCACGGACAATGACCTTTCCTTCAGAAGCCCATAACACCTCGATGATGATACGATCATCATCAGGGAAGTCGTCAGGAACGTTGACCGGGAATACCTCGTCTTTCTCGACATCATAGAACAGCAAGTTGACTACCGGGTTCGGAGACCCAGCTTTAGGGTACTTGATCTGCCTGACCTCTGGATAGTTCTCGAGTCCCGGAGGAGGTCGTTTCCCCGAGGGTCTTGACACGAAGTATTGGACCGGGAATTCCGGAACAGCGGACTCGTTGGTTCGAAGGAAGGCAACGTATTTCCCATCATTTGACCACCACGTTACGCTTTTGTCCGTAATGACTTCTTCTTCGTATACCCAATCGGGGACACCATAGAAAAGGTCCTCGCCCCCGTCCTTGGTAATGGAAACGACACTTTCCGAAGACAGTTTTCGCAAGTACATATTATTGTCTCTCACGAAAACTACAGCATCTGAACTCGGAGACCACAGCGCAAGTTGCACTCTTCCGTCCGGAACGCTGGGATCTAGTGGCTGAGCCGTTTGGGTCGCCACGTCAAAGATCCAATATTTTCCCGTGAACGAGTATCTCCAGTTCTTCTCATGGCTCGACATGAGTAACACCTTATTCAGGTCTGGACTAGGCCATGTGAATGTCGGCATCAGGGTCTCCCCGTTGGCTTGTACGACAGCCTTATTCATTAAGATTCTACTGCTCTGACTGTCAACATCGTCGCCTTCCTGGCTGCGAATATCGTCAACCCGTAAATAGCCCTGTTTACCAACCTCTGCCCTCTGCACCAATAGCCCATCTTCCCCATCTGGACCAGCAATCCATGAGATAGCGTGAGACCGAGGATTCCACGACCCTGTCAGGACTTGTTGGAGTGTCACAGGCCTTCCGGCGCTTGTGCTCCCCGAACCTGACTCCTCTTGCTGCAGGGTCTCAGAGGCTGTTTGGGGACTTGTCCGGCCTTGAGTCAAGAAGAGCACTAATGCCAGCACCCAACCTCCCAGACAGAGTATTACCAACGCCCAGAATATCTGCCGCGTGCGACTTCCCGAGCAGGCTTCCTGGACGAGGTAGGAAGGAATGGCTCGTCGACATCTGCTTCCCCATCCTCCACATCGCGATATTTTGTCTCGTCCGTCACTCCCGATGTGCCATTCGCGAAATTGTTATGTTCGTTGTTCTCAAGGTAGGCTGTATCGACGGACAACCCTGAATCGGTGGAAGATCGGAACGATGCGCCGGACGTGGATCTTCGGCGGGTCATGGGGAAGAACTCCGCATTTTCAAGGTCGTCGGATCTCCCCATAATCATTGGCTTGTGTGGGGGAGCAATTCGAGAAGTCGCATGCAGCGAAAAGGTATGTGATAAGATAGCAAGGAGCGTCGGCGGGCGTACAGATAAGGCCAGATGGTTATCGAGGTCGGAGGAAAGCGGTGCTTGCGTTCACGACAAGAGACGTATCCATGCCCTCTCGTAACTGAATCATATATTTCAGTCTCCAATAGTGTCCCCTTCAATTTGGCCCCAGATGCAGAGTCAGCCTGGGCCCCAAAAGTTTGCCTGTTGGAGAAGGACACGAGAGCCGCGGCGTTGAACGGCAGAGGGACTCTTGGCACCAAACTATTGAGGCCCGTTTCCAGTTAACCAGTACGTACTACGCACTGCTAGCAGTGGATCACCGTCCATACCCACTTTCAACAGGTAACCCAGCCTCTGGAGCTAAGCCACGTAATTATTCGAGAACCTATAAAGAAGAAGAAAAAGCGGAAGTGGAAGAGGAAGAAAGCACATGAAGATACAAACGTCCCAACCAGAACTTCAATTAAGCCAAAATAATCGCTGCTACACAGTGGAAACTCTAGGGCAATACAAGCTTTGCTTTCGTTCTTGTTATCCTCCGAGTCCCCTAATAGAATAATCGGCACAATCGTAGAATGCTGTCGCAGAGTGGCAGTAAAAACGCACGGCTGTCCCTTTACATCCAAGCATCTCTCGCAAACCTCTAATAAGTTCAGGGCCACGTCATGTAGTCTAGACCGGGCTCCTTGTTCTCCATCAAGGAGAAAGCCGATGCTTTATAGATGAGATCGTGCTTCTATCGCCAGGTAACTGTATCTACGCTGCAGTAGGAGTATCGAACTTCGGTTGCTCCATGGCGGACTCATCTCTCACACCTTTCTCTTCCCTTGTAACCCGGCGTCTTGACCTCCCGAAGGGGAATACCATCTTGTTCGATTGATAGAATAAGTTAAGCGAGGTAGATTTGGCCATGGTGCTATTCTTAATAATGCTGTTATAGGAGAGCCGTGGACGATAACCGTGCAGAGACTTCCACGGTGGTGTCGTAGTATCAGTGCTGGTCGTTCCACTTACAAATGGTCAAGGATGACGAGGCCCATGACTATCGACCGCTGGGGACGCAGGTGGAGATAACTCAACAATTCCAGATGCGACCTGGGTTCCATTGGACGACTTCCAAGGTCGAAGATTCAGAGTGATAATACAAGCACAGAGTGCCAAAAAGGTGTACTCCGGAGTATAAATAAAAGATTCCTGCAAAGATCGTATTAGAACAAACAAAGGAGTATCAAAGACTCACTATTTCATTTGTCATTTTTATCTTTGGGCGCAATCGGTCCATTTCCGCGTTATCCAACCATGGTACAGAGTACAGGAAAGGAAAGAGTTTGTATGTTGAGCGAATGTAACCGTTTTAGTTGCCTATTTTCCATCTGGATTGGGGAAAGTAGGACGGACCGAGTTCTCGCCCAAGATTCCGCGCATCAAGAATAGTAGCATGTCTATTGTCGATTGTTTGCAGATCCGCTCTCGAGGCGGGGCTACAGGGCTGAGCCACTCCCCGAGTCCAGTAGGAGACGACGCGTCAGGAGCATTGTTATTATTGGTGAACGAGAGCAAGAATAGGGGGCAAGATGGGCAACTGGCGAGGGAGGAGGACGAAATGGTGGTGCCTCCGCGCAAAGCTAAAATAACTTAACTCCAGTACACTACAACTTTATCTCTCCTTCTTTCGCCCCTCTCTGGCTCTTCCCACGTTAACTTCCATCCTAACCCCCCAACCTTGATTTTATTTTTTTTCTTGTCCTTTTCCCCTCATCCATCGCATTGTATATACGGCCCTAGACGGATCCGTGCGAGCGAGGGGGATTTCAAAGAACCTGGAAATACCAAGAACGTCCAAGACTGGCTGACAATCTCGGCATTGGCCCGAAAAACGTCATTGTCCTGCCTCAGACTCACACCCTGTTAGGCAGACGGATTTTGTTCTCGGCCAGGAACCACCGTTGCTTTTTTACCTTTGGGCCCCATTCTCTTAAATAGAAAACCCTATAAGGCTGATGGTCTTCTAATCTGGGGCTTACACTCTTCGAACAATCACATTCATCATGCATGCGGAGAATCCTCTACAGAGTCCCGCCGAACTCAGCTCGGTCGGACCACAGTCAGAGTCCGCCCTACCTGGACAGATTCTCACGGGCAAACAAGAACATTGTCGGTTAATTCCCACTCTTGATAGATTTCCAAATTTGCCAATTAGCTAATCAAATGAATTACTGATGCACAGACCTTAAGCGCGAGCTCATCGCCCGCCAAGTGCAAAGCGAAATCGCCGAGCTGAACTCCCCGACGGCCCTCCAACGTTTCGGTGCCCCATTCAGATCAGAGTACGGAGAAGTCGCCCCGGTTGACTCAGAACTCCCCATCCTTCGATATATATTTGTTCATCATGTGCGCAATTTCCCCTTTCTCGACAAGGCCCGCGAGAAGGAGTTTTGGCAGGATAAATTGCAAGTGGTGAGTGTGGATCCATGTACGAGGGCCCAAGGATGAAGGACACTGACGGCATACATAGTTCCTAGAATCCTTCGCAAAGAAGCATGTTTCGTCGTCCGAAGACCGCCTAGAGGAGACAAAGCGCAGAAAATTGGCAAGGAAGTGTGAGAAACTCGTGGAGCTCATGATGGTATCAGGTATCCCAACGGCATCAGGGTACGAAGAAAGGATCCAATTCTCGGAAATCGAGGTCGTAGAGCGCGGTGCCAACGACAAGGGTCTGTTGGTTAATATGCCGGAAGGGAATGCCATACACGGCTGGGATGTCAATGTGGCTGCCGTGAGAATTACTTCCGTCAGGCGAACTGTGCGGTATCATCAGCATGCTGTGAGCGGATAGTCCACCCTGAAAACTGAGGGATTTATCGCTAATGCGGGCGTTAGGAATTCATTCTTCGTGTTCGTCGGGAAGGAAAGTCGGACGTCTTTGTGGCCCGACGGTACGGTGACTTTGCGAAGCTCCACAGGAGGCTGCGCACCGAATTTCCCGGAAAGCCACTCCCAGTTCTTCCACGCAAGAACAAGTCCTCAACGTCGTCGAGCTTTTTCTCCTCAGCTGACGATGACGCCTCTTCGGTCTCCTCTTTATCGAGCCAGAGTGCAAGTACGCCGGATGAGGGACAAACTTCTCGAAACAGCTTAGCTCCCGGAAACCCTCTGCATCGCTCTGCGTCGCGATCGTCCATGCGCTCATCTTTGGGAATATCCCCCAAGTCACCGAGACCTTCAGCGGAGACCCCTCGAGAGACTGTACTCTATAGAGAGGAACAACGGGTTTCGCTTCGAGCGTTCCTTCGCACTTTACTGCAGAATAAGCGGGCGGCAGAGTCAAAGGCTTTAGAGGAGTTTCTAACTGCAGAACCTATTACTCTGAATGAGGAAGAACTAATTGACATGCAACGAAGGAAGGAGGCAGATGCTATCAGGATAGAAGAGCAGAAGAAGTTCTATGAGATCGCTAGACAGCGCGCAGCAGAGCTTGATGTGTACATGGAAAACTTCCGTCGAGATATTGTAGAGAGCAGTAAGTGCAAACCCTCTACTTCTTCATACTCTCATGCTGACGGTAATGATCCCTTTGTAGATGGCCTGACGAAGCTGTTTGCGGAAATTAGAGAAAAGCCGACGGTAGAGGATCTCAGTCCTCAATATCAGAAGTTTGCAGAATGGCTTCGGATCGAGTACGTATTCTTTCCTCACTATGCTCCTTATTGTTACGGTTGCTTACAAAGTCTAGGGTTGCCGCAACGCTGTACCATTTGTTCTTGGCCGAGGACAACTCGCCTGAACTATTCGCACAGTTCAAGAGGATACACTCTCTTGTCCCATACACATTGATGAAGAATGTTATCCGAATTGCGAATCCTGCAGCCGTTATGTCTGGCGTTTTGGATCTTTTCCTTGCTCAGCCATTTGGCTCACGGTCTCTTCTGCAGCGGATCTTTTCCATGACTCTGAACGATGGCATCAAACAATTCCAAAAAGCCATTGACTCACTTGCTTCCAAGGTTGATGATGCTTCTCTCTGTCAGAAATTGAAGGCGTTCACAGACTCAGATGAGGAAACCAAGAATGAGATCCGTGCCGAGGCTGAGGATGAGGATATCGACATTCTCGTGGCAATTCTTCGGTCTGACCGCTTCTCTCCCGAACTCACACCGGAGCAATATGGTAATGTATTTAATGCCTATGTCGCCTGGAACCAGGCGGTGGAGAGTGTCGATACAGAAATGCGTGAAGGTGCACAGTGGTTTGCAAACATGAAGCAGCTACTTAAACTCTACACACGGCAGCGTGACAAGGCCATGATGCTCAGCATCGTTGAAGAACCAGTTACCCTCCAACTCTTCCGCGACTTATTCACAATATTCTACGAGCCGCTAGTGCGCGTTTACAAGTCGGCAAATGTTTACAATAGTATCACTGATTTCGCTCAATTTGCCGACGACGCCATACAGGTGGTTGAGAAATGTCAGCGACAAGATGTATCTGCAGATCCAAACCAAACGGTCCAGTCCTTCATCGACCTTTGCGAACGTCATCAAGCGAGCTTCTATAAGTTCGTTCACGAGGTACACCTTCATGACAATGGACTATTTGGCTCTCTGATGGGATGGATTGAAGATATTCTTGATTTCCTACGCCACGGGCCTGTTGGTGGCAAGCTTGACATGAACGCCTTGCTTCACGGAGCTAAGGATGTTGGACAAATCGATAAAGATAAGGCTCTCGACGAGATCAATGCACTTATCAAATGGCATGAAGACCGCAAGCGGTGGCATCTGAATAAGACCAGGCAGAAGATGGCGGCGGAAGGAACCGGGAATGACCCCTTCCCGACATTTAAGGGAAGTGACTTCGGCTTAGACGAGGTATGTCAAAATTCAAGTAGTAATTGAATGGTGAAGTGAGATGCTAACCCTCCGCTAGGGCGACCTGGAAGACCTTGCCATCTCGGACGCAGAGTCTGATCCTAACGACGAGCTCGACGAGGAAGATGACCTTGACCCCATTTCTGCTGAACGACGACGACGGGTCAAGCAACAGGATCAACTCCGTCGCACGGCTGGCGAACCTGTTAAGCCTGAAGTCCAAGAGATTCTCAAATTAGCCGAATCGTTTGGAGTAATGTTACGGATGGTCCTTGCAGAATAGGCTGGCTACTGCTTTGCCGTGATACCCTAGATATTCTTTTCGGCAACTTTGTCATCATGGGTTTTGTTGATTTCCCAGCTGTTGTAGACAAAGATGAGCATTTCTCGGCTGCGTGGCACTTGGTTGTATTGCTGTTGTTTTAATTCTGCATCACCTCATAGCATAATAGAGAAGACCTTTTAATGTTTCATATCGGTTTCATTCTTTCCAGTGATTGACATGCTTATGTGGATGTTGGAACAAGACGTAGAACAAACTACTGCACTTAGGGGCTGGGAGCCGTGGTTGACAGCGGGCACTAAACCCCTCCGATCCACCTGCATCGTCACCGGCCGAAGTCGGTTTCCATAGCGACATAAGCATACATAGCGGCGCATCTTATCATTTCTCCTTATCTTTCTACCTTCAACTGCTTACAGTACCATCACTGCTTCGCCCAAACCATGATATCCCCCCAGAAGAATAATAACGGAGCTGCATCGCCTCGCACCTCCGTCCCCTTGCGAGGTCTGTTCCGCGATGGTGTGTGGTGCTGCAACTGCAAAGAACGCCCCCCGGCGGTCAAATTACAGACTAAGAACCATGGCATAAATCATGGAAGATGGTGTAAATGCTCCTAGCCTCTTGCCCGTCTGCTCTAGGTAGCACCGAACCCGAATCGTAGCACTAACAAACACTAGTCTACACCTGTCAACGACCCCAGCAGCAGCGCTGCAACTTCTTCCTCTGGGCAACTGACGCCGAAGCCCGCGAAAAACTCGCCATTCTATCAAACTCAAGAACAGAGCCGCAGAATATGCCCCAGACACCCACCAAAGCTTCCCGACATGAAGGAACAGGCCTTCTCACTCCACAGACCGATCGTCCACTGCGACATGCCCCTGGGTCCGAGTCGAGGAATTTCCAGACCCCCTCCAAAAGCGCTAAGGCGCGCATGATGACAGAGGACTCCGATGGGTTCGAATGGGATGATACCATTGCGGACGAAGCCGCTACGGTGCAGCATAAGCCTCGCCAGCCGGACTTTGGGCAAGCTGCTGGTGGCTCGGATTTCCTCCCACGAAAGACGCCCCGGACGGATTCTTTTACCTCACCCAGTAAACGGAAGCTGTCTGATATGGAGAGCGCACCGTCTCTCACGCCTACGTCAGTGTTTTCTCCCCGGTCGACTGCGTGTCGACTTCCTCCGGCATCAGCTGAAATCTCGGTGACTCCTACGCCGAGCAAATATAAGAATGCGCTATCTGCTGATTCTGCGGCAGATACGTCAGAGTTATCACTTCAGGCCTTGAGGATTCTGGAGAGCCATAACGTGGTCGTGCCCAGGAAAGCTCAGGAAGAGCTCACCGAGTTGTTAAACAGATATGACCTGAAAACCAGAGGCATAATTCGAGGACGAGACATCTCGCGATTTGCAATCAAGAAGAAAGACGAGGAGATTATGAAGCTCAATGAAAGGATTGTGGTGCTAGAGTCGCAAAGGGAATTGAGTAAGAGCATGGCTAATGGTTCAGGGAGGCAGTAGTGCTTATTTTGGAATTGTGGACGGCATGGTAAGATACCCCAGCCTGCTTTTAGGCACTTTTTGTTTACATCTTCTTTCGGGTTTGTAAGTAAATTCTACTGTTTGGCTTAGAGCGATTGTTGCTAGCATTTATTTTTGTTGTCCAGGGCGGATATATGCGCTCGGTTCACGCATCTTAGATCATATGAAAACAGCGATAGGCTCCTGATGCTAATGCTGGCTTTTCTTTTTTTGTTTTTGGCATCAAACCCTCGAGGCAAATGTCAGTGAACCCCCGAACACACTGGAGCCTATGTAGCGTTGAACTATATAGATTGTAGATCTTATCAAGATCTATCAATGTCACGTGGTGATAAATCGCAAACTCCCAAAATCACAGCCCAAAATTAGCGGATCAGAAAAACACATTTCTACGAAATAAAGTCCACAATCCAAGCAAACGATGCCCTGTCGCCCGGTAGCCTAAGGAGTCTTTCAATAATTTCATAGCTCTCGACTATCAGACAATCTTCGTCCATGGAATCCACGACAGCCCCTAACGCCTCCAAAACGCCTAACAGCGACCTCCCCACCATGTTCCGACCCCCAGTGAACCGTGCAATGCGGGTTCTGGATCGCTCATTCTTCAAGAAGACGGTGCCCCTATCTGCCGCGACGGTTTTCAAGTCCTCCGATATCTCGAAGGTGCGCGGCCAGCTACAAAAGAGTCGGGATTTGCTGGCCGTTCCGAGAATTAGTTCGGTCCAGGACGTGAAGGTTAAGGATGAAGTGAAGAAATGCTTGTTGCTGAAGGAGGGTATTAAATATGATGGTTAGTCTTGCTGGCTGTGCCTTTTAGGGAGCCTGTGTGAGGGTTGGTGCTGATGTGTGGTAGATGCTACAACATGGTCGCCAACGATCAATGAGCTTGTAGAGAATGGTGCTGTTGGAATTGGACGGTATGATTTCGAATTGGACTACGATTACTGGCCTTATGGTAGGTACCACATTGAATGTATTTTGGAATGGGACTGGAGCTAATCCGCTATGGTCTAGCCGATATCATGAACGCAATTCTGCCGGAAGACATGCTTGAGGAGCTTCCTCAAGGGTTCACCCAGGTGGGCCATGTCTGTAAGTCCGCTCTCTCCAGTCTGCACTTGTTTCCCCTGATCTGACAAGACTTAGCTCATTTGAATCTCCGCGAACAATATACCCCCTATAAGTACCTTATTGCCCAGGTGTTGAAAGACAAGAACCCCACAATCCGGACAGTGATTAGAAAGACCGAAGATGTGGGCGCCCACAGCGAATTCCGCACATTTCCCTTCGAGTTCTTGGCCGGCGACGAGGATATGAACGTTATCCAACATGAGCAGGGCTGTGAATTCCGATTTGACTACTCTCGTGTGTACTGGAACAGCCGTTTGGAGACCGAGCACCGTCGACTCGTGAACAAATTCCGCCCGGGCGAGATGGTTTGCGATGTGATGGCCGGTGTTGGCCCGTTCGCTGTCCCAGCGGGCAAAAAGAAGATTTTCGTTTGGGCCAATGACCTTAACCCGCATGGATATGAGGTCATGCAGGATGCTATTCGCAGGAACAAGGTCAACCAATTTGTGACACCGTTTAACAAGGACGGAAGAGCGTTTATCCGCTGGTCTGCTAATGAGCTCTTGCAAACGGAGCCAGTGACTGTAACTATCCAAAAGAAACAAAGAAGGAGCGCCCAAAAAGAAGAGCAGGCCCCTGCCCCCCAGCAGAGGTCTATCACCGACCCACTGTCTTTGGTCACTACGTGATGAACCTTCCGGCGAATGCTCTCGAGTTTCTTGATGCATTTCCTGGTGTCTATGCTGGCAAGGAATCCTTATTTGTGCCGCATACATCTACACCTCTTCCAATGGTACATGTGTATTGTTTCTCCGGTCATTCGGAAGATGAAGTGGACGACCACAAGGACATTTGCCAGCGCATCTCGGAACGAATTGGCTACACCATCACGCCGGAGGATCGAGTCGGGGGAAGTGGAAACGCAGAGCTGGAGCTGGCCATTCACAATGTCAGGTTGGTTAGCCCCAACAAGCAAATGTTCTGCGCTAGTTTCCGTCTACCTAAGGAGGTCGCTTTCCGACAAGTATAATGCCGAAAGTTGCATATAAAGTCATCGCATTGCAGGAGGCGTTCGGGCCGTGAATAGATTATGGATAGATCAAGAAATAGCCAATCTGACGTTGATACCCTTTCCGCTCAATATTTTACAATATAAGTACGAATACAACGTGAACTTTCCTTCACCCATGTTGATGTAGGTCTTATCTCTATCCAAAGGCGGTGACTTATATACCGCCTTTTACTGCCCATACAAAACTCCGCCCGCAAGAGTTCTCCCAGTCCCGCATCAGAGTCAACACCCTGCCTCAACAGCTTCCAGCGTCTGGACACTTATAACATTCAACTCGACAGTCATCGAAAAGGAAGGCCCATTGTATCAGTGCACCACGAGATATCACATACGGTACCAAAATGAGCGTCCAATTGCCACCCCCAACACATCGCAAGCGCGCCTTGCCCCAAGGCGAGCTCGAAGCCGCCTCGACTCTCAGACTAGGCGCGGACCAGAATACCCATACTTTGTCGCTTTCCGAAGCAAGACTCGTCATCAACAAAGTGCTGGAGAACAAGCGCAGGGGTGGAAAGAAATACGAGGAGCCGGAGTGAGTGCCGGAAGTCGACCGGTTGTCAACACAATACAGAGGAATACCATCATGCTCACAAGCGTCTTACAACTTAGGAACCTTACCAAGACCCTGGACTATCTGGAAGTATTTGCTCGATTCAAGGACGAGGAAAACATCAAGGCCGTCGAGCGACTGCTCAATTCGCATACGGAGTTGGAGATGTTCGAGCGGTCACAACTGGGTTAGTCACTTTTTGTCTTTTGCTTTTTTTCTTTTCCCCTGCTTAGCCTGTGGCTTCTGGCCTTCTATTTTTTGAGGTCCTTTCAGCCGAGCCGCTTTCTGCCGTTAATCTGCATGTACCCCGTTATAGTCTAACCAGGAGACAGGGAGTTTGTGCTGCGATAATGCCGAGGAAGCCAAGTCCCTCATCCCCAGTCTTCAACACAAAATCTCCGATGGCGATCTGCAAGAGCTCTTGGACGAGCTGACCAAGCTGCGGAATTTCACGGAGTAAATTTGTTATCGCCGTTTCTTATCGGACCATACTTCCTCTCCTTTCGCATCTTTTTTTTTTTTTTTTTTTTATCCCCATTTTTTTTGGCTGGCTTTTTGTTGGTCTGTAGCATGGAGTTTTGGAGTTGAAGTTGACCCGGAAAGCATGTGATGTAAAAACTGCACGATTACCACATGAGGCAGATGATATAATAGACATCTATAAGAAGTGTTGGGGGTCGGGGATAAGGAAAGCAACGCTGACGGCCTGATAAGAAGCCGGGGGTTGCGTCGCGTTGGGGGAGAGATAGTGAGGTGACATCGCATGCATTCCTGAAGAGTCATAACCAGTTGTCCAGAGCTAGAAAAGCAAGCTAGCTAGCCTCGGGAGAGAAGAGATTTGATAATGATAAACTCCCGTCGAGACACTCATTGGTTCGACCAGAGGGCATCTGAAAGTTTGCGGTGCAGGTGTACGCATGCGATTCCGAGGCCTCATTGTCCCCCATAAATATTAAGTAATGAAATCTTGGCTCCTGCAAATGACAGGCAATACCTACAGTCCGACTCGAACCTGGTGTCACCGCCCACGGCATACTCCGTACGCTGTGATGCATTTCCCGAACCCTATTTGGGCCATATCAACGCTAGTCTACTTTTGGGAGGGGGTTCCGAATATCCTTGTCCATGGAGATTGTACGATGCTGTATCGAGACTGCAGCGGGCTGTATTCATTCGTATCGTAAATACACCTTCATAGTAGTACTACGAAGTATATACATCGTCGTCCATTGGTACGGAAGCTCATCAATTATCAATATCTACATGATGACAGGATGAGAGTATAACCCAGCCTGGTCTCTTCAAAGCGGGAGCTTTATCATGTCACATATCCCTCGCTGAACTCTCCCCAAATGAGTATCTCATCGAAGTATGACGACAAGTCCCACAGCTCATTCATCCTTCATACTATATATATCGCCGGCGAGATATTCCCCACCTGAGCCCCGATTTGCACAGCGTCGAGCACTTCTTGGAAGTGATTATTGTTCTCGAGAGATATCAGATCCCAGGGCTCCATTCCACTCTTTCACCATGACGCGGACGCCTTGGCTTTCTTTTCTCGGATGGCCATTGAACATATCACGCACAATGTGGACATCATCTATTGTGGTTTTGTACAGCTCCAGATCGAATTCTCTGAAAATTCTGGCGACTACCAGAAGTATTTCAGCCTTTGCGAGACTATTGCACGGGATGTTAGTGCACTGTATTAGAGGGATGTCCAAGGGAATAAATAGCACATACGGGATGCCGATGCACTGCCTTGACCCTTTGCTGAAGGCGACCATGTACTTTTCGAGGTGTTTCCTTTGCATTGGATCCATCCATCGTTCTGGGATAAAACTGTGCGAATCGGGAAAGATGTCTTCGTTATGATGTACGAACAAACTCGTCATGCCAACCGGCACCTGGGATCGATGGTAAGCGGGGGTAGTCTCCAACAATACATCGTAGGAGAATAAGATATGCTTACCCCAGGAGGAATGATCCAGTCTTTGTACCTCATAGGCTGATCTGGTGAGCTGCGTTGAAGTCGCGTTGCAACAGCGTTGGTGATTCTGCGTGTCGAGATGAGTATCCAGATAAAGCGACCTGATTGGAGAATTTCTCATACCTTAGACCCTCCAACATAACGGAAGTTTGGTATGATTAGCGACCGAATCCTGTCAAAGAGTGCGGCTTGGAATGAGGATCCTACCAGGTAGGGCATTGCCTCATATTCCACCAAGGACGCCGTCCCATCGGGATCCAGCCGATTCAGCTCCTCGCGTAGTTTCTCAAGCTTTTCGGGGTTATTTAGGAGGTAGAAAGTGATTGTGGCTAAATTCCTGGCAGTTGTTTCTCCGCCAGCCGCAATGACAGTGAAAACCTCTTGGCTTAAGCGATCAGCTGTCTTTTCTTCAGGGGGGAGCGTACTTTCTAGAAGAGCATGAAATAAGGTGCCTTTGGGCACGGTTGTTCTGTTACCAGTGGAAATGCTGTCCGACCGTTGGCTATCAATGACCAGGTTAGCCAGGCGCATACTTTCATTTTTCTGGTCGATGACTGGCCCGATGTCAGGATTAATGCTCATGACGAGCCATTGTGGGAGTAGCTCAAAGAGACTAATGAACCAGCGGAATTGCTTGAATTGGATGCCGGCATGCACAATGGCCTGCATTGTTTTGGACCATTGCGGGCTGAAGTCAGGGTCATCAAGATAGTGAAAGGAGTCTCCCATGGTATATTCCACGACTACGTCTGTAGTAAAAGCATTAAACGGATGATACATATGTAGTGGAGCCTGTCTATCCTTCCAGGCGCGCAATCCACCGCACAGTTTGTCAACCATGCCCCGGAGCATTGGCTCGAGTTGTCGGATTCGCTGTTGGGAGAAGAAAGGATTCATCGGTTGACGCCGTATCCGATGGCGCCGGTAGTCGACTGTACCAAATGCGGAAGCTGGTGCTCCAAACATCCCAGTCAGATGTAAAGACTTATCTCGCGGGGCATCTCGAGAGTACAGCGCTTCATAATATTCAGCATCGTCGATGTGTAGCTCGTACGGGCTGATTCGCACGATCGGGCCATATTTGCGATGCATCTCGGCGATCCGAAAAGTGTATTGACCTTCTAGGAATGAATCGTAGTAGAATTCATACCACATTGTAAGGGCGGCCAGTTTGGGTCCCGGGAAGTGAGCAATGGGTGAAAGCCATAGCCGCTGTAGAGCCAGCCAAAGCAGGTAGGCCGCACCTGCGACACTGAAGGAGACGATTACATGCCACCACACCATGTCAGTCGAGTAGCGAACAGGAAGTATAAAAATCCAACGCAGCCCCGGTAGGTAAGAGGCAACCAGGAAATGCCATCTTATTTGGCGGTCAACAACACTTTCCAAGAGCCAGGGCCGTTCCCCCTCCGGAAATCCTCCATGACCTTCATGAATTTATACCGTTCGTGGCGCATCTAAACGAGCGGAAAAGAAACCCGAAGTATAGTATTGGGTGAGGAAGATGTGTTTTGACCTCTAACTGTTCCAGAAATGGACCGTTAGGCTCGGCCCACACCATCTTCCCACTGCCCCAAGTCCAATAGATACTCTTCCACTGCGGGCGTGTCAGCCTCGTCTATATAGCCGACGTCGATATCAACTTCTTTGGATTAAGGTGCATGGTACAAATTCCCCCTTGCTTCACCCAGGGAGCTTTGTGCTGCTCCAAGAAACGCCGCCGCTAAGTAAAGGATTCGACCCATCTCTGGGACCAGGAGGATGTCCAAAAGTATGTAGCCCAGTAGAAAAACGAGTTGATGAAGTCATATCTTCATATATGGCACAAGAGGATAAGATCCCCCTTCACTTCTTATTCATATTCACTTTGACCGAGAGAGACCTGAAGGCGACAAGCGTAGGCACAGAAGGCCATGGCCGGCGAGATACGGATGAATCAATAACCACCAGGAGGGCATCGTTCAGCATATCGAACCTTTGTCATGTACACCAACAATGAAAGCTGTATGATGGTTAACGAAGGAGTGGCAAGCAGGCAAAATACTACTAGTACGTCGTAGGTACTAAACTACCATCAACTGGTCGCCTGTACCGCTGCGGGACATGAGCCAGGTAATATTCAAGTAACGTCACGTATAAGGAATGACGATGGGATATCGATATTCCGGGGCTATCCTCGATGTAGGCTAGTGCATATTGCTATCCCGGTTCGAGAAAGCCCGGAGTAACTATATCTACATGTAGCTAGCTGCTAGGGTGCTTAAATGGAAGCGATAAGGTGTACTAGTAGTAGTACCTCCTCGCGTTTGATTGTACCGAGTCAGCCAATGGTCACCCATCTGACTCGTGACCCCATCTTGATGAATCATTGATTTCATCATGCGACAACTCCCCGGACTCTAGTATATAAAAATCATATTGTAATTTTTGCAGATATTTTTATCTTGAGAGGAAGCAAAAAAAAAAAAGAACATCGAAAAAAAAAGTCAAGAAAATTGAAAAAGAAAGTTCCGATCTATCGACTTCGAGTCTTCACCTCGCGATTATTAATAGCGTCGAGAAGGTCACTAGCTCCGTCTCAGGATTTGGCGACGGAGTTATTACCATTTCTCCGTGCCAGGAATGACTGTTCGCCGCCGCAATGGTGCCCAATAGCCATCCACCAATGGACGGACACAGATTTGCTGACGAGAGGCAACCTCCATTCAAAGGATGGATTACTTCCCCTTCCTCCCCGTGCAGCAAGCGGCAAACCCACATGGGGCTTAAGAAAAGGTGTGGGGAAAAGCCGCAGAGCTGCAGGGCCGATCCCCGTTGCCGGTTTCGCACTAAGCCGATTCTCTCTGAATACAGCGGCTGTGATTGGTGAGCTGTGGCGTTATCGGGTGGCAATGATTGGTGGATTCAGCTGAGTCATGACGGTCCGGATATTCATTTTAATTCGAATCGGGTTAAAGCCCCAGGGATTGGGAACGATGGCTCTGCTGCAGCAAAGATTCCTTGTTCACCATGGTCGTCGTTGGTCGACATTAATATCTGCAAGTATGACTGGGTCGGATAACCATTAGATAACATTTACCGAGGGAAAGGCCATCCTGCGATTCCAAATTCAAAATTCAGACCTTCAACGCTTTTCTTTTTGGGCGCCCCGATCCACCCCGGGGCTTTTCAGTACGTAATATGAAAAGACGAGGTCGGCAAGAAGCATGATCGCGACCCAATCAGCTGGGCCAGGCTTATCTCTGGTCGTCAGTGCCAATGAAGTTCATTTCACCATCAAGCAGGAACCAGAGCGACGGGCGAACATGACGTCCAACAACCGTGTATTCTGTTACGTGTGGGAAATCCTTCGTATGGAGAGTTCCGGAATGGGTGTCGCTGATCCAAACCATCTTTCATGATTTCTCTTATTGATCCTGATGACTACCACCGAAGCACGGCAGATGGACTTCATCTGGGTATACGATTCTATTACTTGATCAGATTTCGCCTTCCGTCACCCTCTCGGACGAACCCTCTTTACTTACTCCCTGCATCTCCCCCTTCGTCTACTTCTCGATTTTCTTCACCCTCTCTCTCTTTTCGTTGTTCTCTCAGATTCAGGAATCCAGTTTGGAATCATTAGTGGATCGGATACCTTTTAGATGTGTTGATCGCGCGGACACGGTCCACTTTGCTGATATTGCGTGCTGCGAGAGAGAAACTCTGATACTATCAATTTTCTCATTCCAATTATAAGATTATCTTTTATCATTGACCATTATCAGTGATTTGATTCGCCTTTTGGATTCAATTATTTGATTTTCTTTGTCCACAAGCCAATCCCCCCCCCCAACCCCCAGATATCTGATATTGAATTACTGGTGACGATTATCTTTGGGCCTCCGGTTCCGCTCCCCGTTTGCTGTACTTACTTCCCTTCCCCGACGTATCACCACTGCCCATTGCACCACGACATCTGGAAAGGAAGACTGCCTTCCCTTCAACTTGTCTTCTGATAAGCTTCTCCGCTACCGTTCGCACGTCCATTCAACCATTCCATTTTTAGTCGTCGACCATTGGTGGGCTCGTGGTCGATCGTCAGCCGGGCCTCACGGACGTGTGTACCTAGAAACACTAGATTCCTTCGTCGCCTCCAGACCGTCCTGAACCCCAGATAACCCAGTATCTTGGGGATCCTGGTCTGTGTCCCAGCTATTGCGGAGCTCCTTGGCGGAGTCCCCGACTGTCCCGGCTCCGTTACGTGACTGATTTCCCCTTTCGAGCCGTATCACGCTCTTATTCGTGAGAGATTATCTCCTATCTCTCGATCTCACCCTGCCCATTATCTATCTCTCTCCGTGCCCTTGTTGCCAGACTCCTTGCTGAATGGCTGCCGTTATCACGTTGCAGTCCTCGACGACTGCGCCGGCAGCTTCTGCTGCTTCGTTCCAGCCGTCAGACCAACTACTTCGATCTCGGGTACAAAACCAACCGTCTCACCAACCAACCGCCACGCCTCTTTCGCCTTCCACATCCATTGCTGCCTTACCCCGAGTGCCTGGACCAGCTCGGGATGGGCAAAGTTGTGACGCCTGTCTGCGCAGAAAGAGTCGGTGTGCCATGAACGAAATGGTCAATAAATGCTACTCGTGCGATTTTCATCGTCAAGATTGCACATTTACCCTCTCCGTGACGAGTCTCCCGAGTCCGGCGGAGGTCCAGTCCAAAAAGCGAAAGCTAGATGACATTGTCCTGGATGATGTAGAATCGCCCAAGAGGTATGGATTGCCCCAGCCTTAAGTGGGCATCGAAGGCCGATCTCGGACGTCATATAGATAGACCTGGAGACACTAATCCTTTTCCCGCTGACAGACCTTCGACCAACCCCCCGGTTTCCAAAATTAACCTTGCCCATTCGCCATTGAACATCCAAGCCCGGATCACAGCAGGGTATTGCTATCAGCGAACCCAACACATCGGCTTGACCACCGACTTGGAACCCGCCCTCCTCGAATTTCTCCCCTTGGACCAGAACCACGAAGGCATCATTGCGTCGTCCCGTGTACGAAAGTTCGGTGACGACGGTACCTTTATGCGGATGGTTAACACCTTGTCCCATGCGGACTCCCCGCAATCTGCCTCCCTAGATGCCATTGAGAGCCTAGTTGCCCCCTATGGCTCCACTTTGATTGATAAGTTTTTCGAACATATTCACCCAACCTTCCCCATTCTTATGGAAGATTCGTTTCGTCACTCTTACCGCGCTCGACAAGGCCTGTCGCCGCTTTTACTGTCCGCTGTCTACGTGCTAGCATTGAAATTTGTGGATGTGGGACCGGCTTCCCAGTCCGTACGACGACCAGATGCTGCTCGTCTGGAGAGCACGGCCTTGAAGCTACTAATCGAGTCTCTGCCCTATGCATCTATCTCCACCATCCAAGCGGGCGTGCTCCTGATGGAGAAGTCTACGATTGCCACACACGCGTTGAACGCGCAATTGGTCACCGCCGGCTTCGAGCTAGGGCTCCATCAGGATTGTTCTGGATGGCGGATGGAGACCTGGGAGAAGGGTCTCCGGAAACGTCTTGCCTGGGCATTGTATATGCAGGACAAGTGGTCCGCGTTGGTGCATGGTCGTCCGTCCCATATCGTATCCTTTAACTGGACGGTACAAGATCTAGTCGAACAAGATTTCGCCGAGGCATTCCCAACCCATGACTCTCAGGACGACGACTCCGTGGGTCACGGTCCCCTCTATTTCTGTCACATGGTCGCCTTAACGACGATCCTCTCCGACATCTTGGATCGCTTTTACACCTTGCGTGCGATCGAAGAGTTCAAAGCCGCCGGTGGCAACCGGACGCGTATGATCTTGGAACGCGCCAAACCAGCGCAGATCCGGCTAAAGGAATGGTTCGGACGTCTACCGGCCGAGCTGAAAATGGAGTCTGGCGGGGACCTTTTTGAAGTTATCAACGAGGACAATGCCCGTAACGGCGCCTTGCACCTGTCCTACTTCGCCACAGAAATCACTCTCCACCGCTGTATTGTCCGGTCTCTCTCCCCCAATACCGCCGATGCCTATTTGTCGCATATCTGCCGCTCTGCCGCCAAAACACGATTGATCTCGGCCATGGACTTCGTGAATCGGCTTCGCCCGCCGCATCTGAGGTCGTTCTGGCCCGCCGCATCGCGGACTAACTTCGCTCTGATCGGATCCTTCGGGGTCCTCCTTCGCATCACATCCCCAACCAAAGAGGAAGCAGAGTTCTATCGTCTCCGGCTCTGCGAGTACCGCTGGACGCTGAGCGTCAGCAAGAAGAACGCCGAGTTCATGGAGTTCGCTCTGGACAGCCTGGACAACGCCAACACGCTCGATCAGCATGTGCCCGAGAAACCGGGCATCGACGAGCTGATGACTAGCGCGGCCAAGCCGACCGTGACTCAACCCCATCCAGGCACAGCCACGCAGTTGGAAAACACGATTCTGGGAATGGATCACGGAAACGACAGTGGACGCGGGGGCACTTCGTCTGTTATATCAGGCCTAGCCTCTCCAGCAACATCAGTCAGCGGGGACAGTCTCCACGACGATGCAATCCCACCATTATAATCACCTTTTTACACCTACCTCCTTTTCCCTCCCTCACATAATCGTCGGACTTTAGCACCACCGACACCCCACGAATACCGTGTTGATGCATTGATGACCTCTTCCTGTTCTGTTATTAGATGTTGGGCGTACTGCGAGGTCTGGTTATCGATTGATACCTCTTGTTTTATTTTCTCTTGATGATCAACTGTTTGATTATGATCACATATCCCTGGATGGATGAATGGCTCTTTCAGCAAAGCTTGTACATATGGGATCAGGTTATGATGGATATAGACTGGATGGCGATCGGATAGATAGCATGAATTATGAGCATATTAATAGCCACACGAGCCATAATACATGTAAAAAGCAGACCTAGAGAGGTATGTCATGGTAGATAAACTACGATGGGGGGGGCTATCTCACAGAAGTATATTGGATAATCCATGTGCGAAGTTTCGCAAAAGCACGTCATCACATCATAGGCTAGCGACGGAACATACCTCCCTCACCTCCCCAACGAGATTGTGTCACTACCGCTCTCTTATTGCCAATTGATCACCTCATACACGGGCGGACAGAGAGAAGTTTCACTTTCTAATATGACCACCACTTCATTGAATACTAACGCAATAGTTATCACAACCCCAGAAAGTACGAAAAATCATTCCCCCCATTTCCGAACGCAAAATCCTCCAATATCGTCGGGTCAACTAGATTAGCCAGAATCTCAGCCCGGGTATCAGGCTGAGCGTCTTGGTTAAAGAGCGAGAAAAAGAAATCCCCGTCTTCGCCCTGTGACCCCAACGGGGCCATATCCGTCCGGGTATGGACACTCTGGTCGTCATTTGCCTCTAGGCTCGATGAGTCGATGTTGGTGTCGGCATGAGGGGGTAAGACAGGTACAGCGGATACTGCTCGACGCCTTGCGACACAGGCGCGGGCTACGTCGAGGACTTCACGGATCATCTCGGAGCAGCGGCGAGCGACGACGATGTTGGTCATTGAGTCGAAGATTTCGAGGCTTTTCTCGACGTCCTTGAGCAGCTCTTCCTCGCTTATACCTGGGAAGCCGGAGAGGATTAGGTGGAGGAGGATCATGGCTCCGTAGAGGGCGTAGGTTGTGTTGTACCACCTTTTTTTTTTTGGTACTGTTAGTTTGGCAGGTTGGTAGAAGTGGAAGCGGTGGGATTGATTACCAGGTTCGTATGTAGATTCTGTGTAGGAATGATTCATATTGCATTTGGATGCTGGCTCTTGCTGCTGTTAGGCAGATATGGCCGTGCTGGAGTAGGTTGGGTGATTCGGTGATACATGTTGATGCTGCCAGGAAGGGACGATGTATGAGTATCCGCGTATTGTAGAATCCTGGAGGTAGATTGTACTTAAGTAGGTTGTTCCTGGGTGATTGTTGTTTGAAAGCTATCAAGGAGCACTTACTCAGTCGTAAGACTAATTTCTGCTTGAACGCCCACTCTGAATCGTTGAGCGAGGCAACGTCTACGTTGAGAAAGGAGGGTAGGTTGGATTTCCACTCCTCTAATTTATTATCAAGGCTCATTGCAATCTGCGACATCTCGCTCGTATGGCGTTTCGGTGAATGGTAGAGCAGATGAGACGCCTCTGACATGATCTGCGCTAAAGCTACCATGACCGGTATCATGCTACGTCGTCCTCCTCTGCCTCGGGGTCATGACTGCCACAGTTATTTGCCTATTGCTACATTGTGAGTTTTTGGTCTCTTATGGCTCGTTTTGATCGGAGCCTATACCCTTAATGGAGGTACAGTGACCTGGTAATGGTCAAGCTGCTTCATGCTATCCAGCCTCCCCGAGGAACAGCACATTTCGCTTCATTGCATATTAGTAGTATACCCTGATTGTGTTTCTGAGAGACTCACACTTCATGTGAGTATATGCACCTATATAACTTAGTTCTGAGACGCGAAAAGGACAACCAGGCGAGTACTCACCACCAGGTGCGTCGGCCTTCTTTGCGTATGCTTGGAGGCAGAGAGGACATTCCAGATGCCAATCCAATTGCAATTGCTGTTCTAACTGCCATTCCGCTATACATGAAGCAGCTGTGAGGCCGTAAAGCGTTCTGACAGAATATGCTCTAGCCATGTCCTAGTTAGATAAGAAATCAATCAAGCACAACAAACACTCGACTCACTAGGAGCAAGAGAGTCTGGGCACTCTCTAGGGAGCAGCTCTCGAATATATCCCCAAGGGCTTGTTTTGTAATGCCAAAGTAGAAATCAGCAAAATCCAAGGCTGACGGCTTCCCTGCAAAACTGTATTTTTGTCCGTCAGCCGAACAACTAGAATAATGATCCAGAAGAGAAGTCTCATTAGGGCTGGCATTGATGGCACCCAGGGCAACCACGGCGAAATATAAGCCTTTGAACTTCGATGTCCGACGGCAGAATGCTCTTCGTTTCGAAGCTACGAAAGCTTCTTGTTCGCACCTTCGCATGAAAGCATTTTTACACAACATAGGGTGTATATAATGTTTGTTTGAAAAGTAGCTGCCGATGAAGATCTTCTCAATTTCAAGTTGTGCCTCGTCGGAGAGCTCATCGATAGCTAGCGCCACTGCATCTTCATTGTCCATCCCTCAGAGCCGGTTAGATTAGGGCCAGGTTGCCGTTAACACAAGTATTTTGTACTCACCAGCGATAGTTCGAGGCGGGATTCTTTGGTCCCCAACGGCTGAGGATCGTCTATTTCCATCATCCTCAGGCCGCCCGTTGATCTGAGGTGGGGAGGTACTAGGATAACCTGGATTGTAAAGTAGGTTAACTATAGACAGCTGGGCCGCCCTCGTCGCAGGCTTTGCGTTTGCCGGTTCCTTGTCCACCGTCGGGTGAAGTGCTTGTTGAGGTGAGACATATTTCATACTCGATGGCTGGTCTGGCGCCAGACGACAGCCCTCTTCCGGAAGATTAGAAGACATATTCTCGGGTATGTTCGATGTTCTGGCTTCTGCCTGATTGCGAGCTCGCGCATATAGATTTCCAAAAAAGGCGAGATTCGAGGAGTTGCCATAGAATTCCGTGCCGTTGGTGTGTAAGTTGATTCCGCTTAGGCCGTCTCTAGATGTTGAATCATACACCTCCGGGGTGGTTCCTATAGTTACTCACTCAGTATGAGCTCTCTTTGAATAAACCTCATAAGGATGTAACATCTCACCGTCGAAGACATCATTCTCGTGTTTGGAACTAGGACGTCTGGCTGATGTAGCATTGCGGTTGATAGCTGTACGGGGTGCACGAGCTGCTTCTCCTGCAAGGAGATCCAGAGTACCACGGTGCTGCGAGGTCAATTGCTTGGGTGAACTCACTTCTGGCCACGGAGATGGCCGAGCATGATCTGCAGGTGCCCTAGCGATATCGAAATGATTGTAAGGTCTTGAAGGCCAGAAAGGTATAGGGGACAAATGCTAACCTTTGCACTCCCCTGGCTTGGGCATGTCTTTTAACTATTGGTGTTGAGCTTTCATTTTGACCAGAAGCTCTGTAAACACAGTCAAGTGCGTGATCTATGGTCTGCGTTAGCAGATTGTCCCTGGCAAGGTGCATTCAATTCTTGGACTGTCCTAGCACGATCAAGAGGGGCAGCTTACAAGCACAGTAGGAGCATGGCTTTGCTTGGTCACACTATCATGACGCAATCAGCCCAGGTATCCATGACAGGGGAGTTCTAGTATACTAGCAGCGGTTGATTGGAAAATAAGGATACAGTACTTTCGTCTTGCGAACGCGACAGGTCTCGCAGGCACGTGAAGCACGTGGATGCCGTCGACGTGATGCGCGCAATTTTGCAGTTATCGCCTCGCCTCTGTTCATTATAAGTTTCGTTATACAGTCCGCTGGACGAGATTTTCATTAAGTGGTGGGTGCTCGAGATGATTGAATGGGCTCCACACTAACCTAGAATTTAGATTTAATTTATTTTCCCCGCCGAACCGATCGCCACCAGACAGCCAAGGAAGCTCTACACTTAGTAGCTATCTGGGGGTACGATGGGTCCGGGGTTGTCTTTCAAATATTTATATGTATAACCACGAGAATCTGGCCAGCCTTCAAGTATGGCCTTCGTCTACAGTAGTGCTTCCTGAACGATTACAATTATGCTCTGCACCTTAGCACACATTACTGGACGACCCAGTCGGCTCAATTAACATCATATATCAGCTCCTAGCTATCAAAGGATCAGGAAGGTTTTGATTTTGAAGGCTGTCTCAATTAGTCCTCCGTCTCTACAACTGGCACACGCATTCAACCAACGAATGGTGCATTGAACCGATACCTCATAGCGATGTCGCCTGGATGAATCGGCTGTCGATCATTTTGGACTATAAATTCTCTAGCCGTGTCCCTTTACCAAATATATCTAAGATACTAATCGTTGCTAGTTCGTTTCCAGGATATGCATGAACCTCCGACGGATTCCCTACAACCACACCCGTTCCGACGGGTACTCTTATAACGGCATATCCACCAATGGGTGAAATAAAAGCTATCTTGTTGTTCCCAATCCATCTATTTGCTCTATAACGAGTTTGATAATTGAAGCATACCTCTGGGGATCAAGTAACAACAAACTCGATTGATCTTGTAGTATGACATCTATGATCTGGTTGATTCGGAGTATCATAGCTACGGCCTGTGTAGGCGCTCGTTATGAATCAAGAAACATCAAGAACACCAATAAATAGCATACAATAAGCCGAAAATGAATATCTATAGCTCAAACTGGAGACATAGTATATAAGAAGTTCCACATGCGCGTATCTTTACATATCGGCGTTATCACCTTCATACAACCGATAAGACAATTGGACCTCTCCTATCTTATCCGCTGGGGGAAATAGATAGATAACCGATCACTAATTGACCCGACTAGTTGGGAACCTTACTTCATGATTTCAGTAACAACCTTCCTGAAGAGCGTCAGATTCAGTCTATAGAACACCTAATCAGGAAGGCGAACTCACACTGTGGCCGAGATCAAGATCCGACTCGGGTAGGGTTCCCCGACATACGACACTTTCCCCACATCTCCCCTCTTCTGGGGGGAGATCCTTCGAATGAAATTCGTATAGATATGGTCTAAACCTCGCATATTACCTAACAGACCGTTCGATCCCGAGAATAAGCGTGGAATATGGAGGCGGACGATATCCGAGTTCCGTCGGATAGGACGGAACAGCACGACTATAGACGTTGAATGACGCCGTGGAGATGGTAAGCTTATCAGATGATGCACTGCTTCTTATCAAACCGGTAAGCAGTGCGGAGTAGGGGGATTTATAAGACGTTGATGTCTGGTGATATACCATCACTGCTCAATCAATCACTTGTTCAGTACTAATCCTACCTAGCGTCAATACATATAATTACTATATCTTTTTCTAAGTTTGGTTATAGCTTGCGTTATCGAACTAATAATCTACAAATGGGATGGGACCAAGACGCACTCAGGGCCCAATTCTGCCATGCGCTTTCGGAAATGTACAAGAGCGAGGTCCCCCTCTATGGTGATCTCGTAGATCTCGTCTGGAAGGCAGATGCCGAAGCCATCAACACCAGTCAGAAACAAGGAACCGCAGCGATTGACCCGGACGAGATCTTGCCGTTGCGAAACCGGGTCGAAAGACATGGGGCCATCCGGCTGGGTACCGCATACGAACTCTCCACGATTCGTCGTATGTTTGCAATCATGGGCATGTTTCCTGTGGGGTACTACGACCTGAGTGCTGCCGGATTTCCGATGCATGCTACTGCTTTTCGTCCCTGGACAAAGGAAGCGTTATCCAAACACCCGTTTCGAGTGTTCACGACGGTTCTACGTATGGAGTTGTTGACGGAGAAGACCCGAGAGCTGGCGCAAAGAGCTCTACAGCAAAGGAATATCTTTACGGATCGTTTAGTCGCTCTCATTGAGCTGGCTGAGAATCAAGGTCAGCTTAGTCCGACGGAGTGCAGAGAGTTTATCGTGGAAGGACTAGAGACGTTCCGGTGGCATTCCAAGGCCACTGTGACAATGGAGGAATATCAGACTCTAAAAGCTGAGCATCCACTGATTGCGGATGTTGTTTCCTTTCCCAGTTGTCATATTAACCATCTCACGCCTCGGACGATCGATATTGATCTAGTGCAGAAACTGATGCAGGACTATGGCATGCCGGCAAAGGAACGCATTGAAGGTCCCCCGCGACGACAGTGTCCGATCTTGCTCCGTCAGACAAGCTTCAAAGCATTGGAGGAGACTGTTTACTTCCGAGATACCCATGATGCTTATGTGCAAGGATCACATACAGCTCGGTTTGGAGAGGTTGAGCAGCGCGGATACGCTTTGACACGAAAAGGCCGCCAGCTTTACGACACAATATTGTCACGGGTCAATACCGAGTCTGCTGAGAGACGTGTCAGTGCTTCTGAATATGAAAGCCTCCTGGTAAAATATTTCAAGGGGTTCCCGGACGACATGGCTCAGTTGCAGTCTCAGCAGCTGGCGTATTTTTGTTACCATTTAACGCCACACAGTCAAGAACCCGCGCAACTCGATCTGCAAGGGGGGAATGTGACCTTGGAACAGTTACTCAAGAATAATATTATCGAGTATGAGCCCGTCACGTATGAGGACTTTCTACCCTTGTCCGCCGGAGGTATCTTCAATTCGAATTTAGGAAGCACGTCCCAATCAAAACAGCTTGTCATGGAAGCTGAAGCGGATTTGGATGGATTCCAACGTATGCTGGGGACGTCTATAATGGATGAGTTCCATCTCTATGCACAAATACAGCAGAGCAGCTTGGAAAACTGTCGGAAGCAATTGGGATTGGATGTGATTCTAGAGTAAGAGTACTTCAGAATGTGGCCACTAGACTTAGTTCATACCATTCCAATGTAAAGACGATAGTAGCGTCGCTCGCTCAACATCTCAGCGATAAGCAGTGGTTGATCATCGATGTGATCACTAATTCTCCGGTCGAAAACTATCGACGGATCCGCGTCACCGAACTGGCCAGAATCAAGGTCACTTGACGAAGCGTGCTTTCCTCCTTCAAAGGCCGGGGCGGAAATTAATCAAAGTCACTGGAATGAAGGCGTTCGGAACAAAGGAGAATGTGCCATCGGTTCCAAGTTGTGTCACCACAACAACAAAGTTCGACACTATGAGGTCTACAAATTTGGTCTACAAAGAGATTATAGAAGACTAAATTTTGGACTATTTCCACACCCGCGAAGAAAAGTCGGGCCGTTCATTGTCTATAGTCGTTCTCTGGGTCTCTTTGCTCTCTCACCGCAATTGCAGACGAGCCCTAAATCCTTCCCGATGTGATCCGTCAAGCCTCAAAAGTTATTCGCCTCCACTATGAACCCTCAACTAACGACGCGCATTTACTCAATAACGAGCAACTCAGCCTGCATAAACTATCGAGCTATATGGTTTTATATTTCCAATAATTGTATCTTACAATCCGACGTTTCCTCAGTGCTGGCTGACACAACACTGCCACCTTTATTCTCCCATGAGAGAAAAACACATATCCTTTGGATATTAAACCTGACTGACAGACGGCTATGTCAATCTTACTTTGTAAACACTTTGCTATCTGCTGATATCTATATATATACCGTCAGCATGACTGCTTTTAGTAACAGACGCCATTTATAGTCCTACAATGCTTCAGGTGGTTTACTCCAGTCAGATTATAACGGGCCCTTGCATGGCTGCTATGTCTCGGACTGTATGGTTAAAAGTTTATAAAAAAAAATATCGTATGCTTGGGCCCCAAAATCGGAAGATTGGGGCTTGTCCAGTATTATCTAAATGTAAGAGTATATCTAGGAGCATTCCTCTCTCAAGTCCGGTAGGTATTCTCGATCATCTGGCAAGTCTTTGGTCTCTTCGGGCGAACCTAATATCCTCATTTCATTACAATGCGTTTATCTCTCGTAGGCTTTGTAGCCACGGCATATGCACAATTTGGCCCTCAGGCCAACCTCGACAGTTATGAGAAGCTAGGGCCGCTCTTGGGGAGCTCCTTCGGTGTCCCCGGAGCCGACGCGACCTTCGACTATGTGGTCGTGGGAGGTGGAACAGCTGGTCTGACTATTGCCAGTCGCCTGTCCCAGCGTGGGTCTAACCAGAGTGTTGCTGTCGTGGAGGCCGGCGGATTCTATGAAGTTGACAATGGCAATCTTTCTGTCGTCCCGGGCTATTGTACCTACTTCACAGGGTGGTCCCCCGACAACTACCAGCCGCTTGTCGACTGGGGCATTACCACTGAGCCACAGCCGGGGACCAGCAATCGCGCCCATCACTATCCACGTGGGAAGACCCTCGGGGGCAGTTCGGCCAGGAATTACATGCTGTATCAACGGCCTACATCAGACAGCATGCAGAAATGGGCAGATGAGGTAGGTGACCAGAGCTATACCTTTGCCAACATGCTCCCCTTCTTCAAGAAGTCTGGTCACTATACGCCTCCCGATCAAGCTGCCTATGCCGATATGTCCAACACTCAGGCCACAGATGCGTTCAGCCCTTCTGGGGGACCTCTTCAGATATCGTTCAGCAATGAAGTCGATCAATTTGGCACTTATGCGCGCAAAGCGTTTGTTGGTCTCGGTATGGACCAGATTGATGGGTTCAATAGTGGCAAGCTATTGGGGTCTGCGTATGCAACATCAACAATTGACCCGAAGAATGCACACCGTTCGTCATCCGAGTCCAGCTTCCTGCAAGCCGCCCTCAATGACGGCGCGGATTTGATGGTGTATAAGAACACCTTGGGACAAAAGATTCTCTTTGATTCAAACAATGTCGCTACCGGTGTTGAAGTCTCAACAGGTGGGACATTTGGCACCAGACCAGTTAACTTCACGTTAACCGCTCGCAAAGAAGTGATCCTGTCTGCAGGAGCGCTTCAATCTCCTCAGCTATTGATGGTCTCTGGGGTCGGTCCATGCGATGAATTCTCCGAATTCGGCATCCCTTGCATTAGCAACTTGCCAGGCGTCGGCAAGAACATGCAAGACCACGTAATGTTTGGGTCTTCGCACCGTGTGAATGCTCAAACAGCCTCTGCATTCAGCAACCAAACACTCGTAGAGCAATTCACGCAGCAATACCTCCAGAATGCCTCGGGGCCGCTCTCAATCTTCTCATCCAGTTACTATGGTTGGGAGAAGCTCCCAGAGCCGTACCGTTCCCAGCTATCAAATCAGTCAATCCAAGCCCTCGCTGCTGTTCCAAACGACTGGCCTGAAATTGAATTGCTTACCGTCGCTGCTTATCTTGGCGACGGCAGCAGCAGGAATACTGTCGATCCAGCGGATGGCTATAACTACGGCACGATCGCCACAGCTCTCGTTGCACCGCAATCTCGCGGGACGATCTCCCTGGCAGGACCAGATATGAACATCCTGCCCGTCGTTGACCCCCAGTGGTTGGTTGATCCCACGGACATGGAGCTAGCAATCCAAGGGTTCAAACGCGGTCGAGAGGTGTGGGAGAAGCTCGCTGAATTAGGGGTTGCCGATCCGGTAGAGCACTACCCAGGGACCAATGTCACGACTGATGAGCAAATTCGCGAGTTCATCAGCCGTACTTCAACGACTGTTTACCATGTCTCGGGTACCTGTAAGATGGGCCGCCAGGAGGATCCCATGGCCGTTCTGGATAGTGATGCGCGAGTATACGGCGTACAGGGTCTGCGTGTCGTCGATGCAAGTAGCTTTCCTTTCCTACCACCAGGACACCCTCAGTCGGTGGTATACGCTCTTGCAGAGAAGATTGCAGACGAGATTTTGAGCGCGCAGTAACGTTATGCCCTTTGAATTTTTAGACTGCACATATGGCGTTCGGTTGTATATGATTTGTATATTATTATATTATTGTCAGACCTAGTAATGATTAATTGATGTCCTTGGTTCATAATGTTGGAGCGAAAGTACTATCAATGTATGGCACACCACTTACTGTTGAACAGATTCTCTATCGCAACAACACTTCTCGGCTCGAGTTAAACATTCAAATTCCAATATAGAATACAATACAATGCACTATCCAATGTGCACAAAATCTATCTGTACATGTTGCCTCAATGCCCAATAAACAGATATCGAACAAGACCAAAAGATCATCGTGGTCCATCCAGCCGTAGCCTGAAGTGCTGAAACTCCAATGCAAATGTTTTCTCTACCCCTCCCCATCCTCCATTATTCATATCGAGTATCCTTCGAATGGAGAACCCACTTATGCCTTGACTTCCACATCCTGTCCATCCTCGACAACAACAGCACCCTCCTCCAGTAACTCCTCCGCAGTCTTCACTTTGACATCCATGACCCTCAGCAGGGTATACCGATGCTTGCTGCGCACCTTTCTCACGTGTCGCTGTCTGCGCTTCGTCTTCTCCTTCACCCGCAATGGCTCCGAATCCACTCCCATAACACGCATTCGGCACTCAAACAGCCGCTCATCGATGTACGGTGCCCCCTTGAGCGTAAACTCGCGAGATCCCAGAACAGACGCCCGGTTGAAACGAATGACATCCCCGGGCTTCACCTTGGGCATCAAGAAAGGGAGACGGAGGTGGTCACCTTCAGTGAGAAGGTAGGGGTTGTCGTGGAGGTGAGCAGTGATGTAGTGTGGCTTTTGAGTCGTCAGGTACGGCAACTTCTCGAGAAGGGATTTGGTCACTTTTAACGGGGAGGTGAAGGTCGGAGCACGGGGAGTTTGGAAGTTGGGATGGTATTCGACGGTGTGGAGGTGGATGGTTGTTGGCTGGGTGTGCTGGTCTGAGCGCGGGGGTTTGCGCTTAGTGGTTCTGAGGGCTGCTCAGGGTGTGATTGCGAGGTCGTGGTCGTCGTGGATGCTTGACGCAGACAGGCCCCGAAGGTGGTGTTGAGAGGCCGGGCGGACTGCTCGAATGGCAGTGCGAAGGCTCTGGCGAGCGCCGTTCGGGAAAACATTTCTGTGGTTGTTGCAGAATTTTTGGCCGCCTCGTAATCCTGTACTTGTTTTTCCGGATTGGAAAAGACAAGACTAATGTCGCAATGGACGTGGTGGACAGTTCTTGTATCAGTCCGAACTTGAGGCCGCGAGAAATTCCAGTGGATCCCGATGTGGTTAGGCACGTGATGTGGCTGGTGCCAACGTTTTCTATGGCGATTGAGACTGATAGATTGGTTCTGAAATTGCAGGAGAGAAATGGGATTGATGGCTATATTGCTAAGAAAATAGAATAAAGTACATGTATTCAACTGGGTCTGCTGCATAGGAAGTTCTCTTGTTTGGAAGAGTGAAGTTTATGTCGGTCTGTATATCACGTGATTTATCGATACCAAGCCACTCTATCCGTGCATCGAACTTTTTCTACATCTCCGCCAACAGAGTTGATAATATCGGACCATCCCAACCCATTGGTTTCTATTAATCATGGTACGTTTATGACCTCCCAGATATGTCTAGATCGCTCAGCCGCCCATTAAAATGTCCCGAGTCACTCGAGCGCCGCTCTGGAAGACTTTGATAATGGATACTGGTAACTAACATTTCTTCCCAACTACAGCCTCAGAACGAGTTCGTCTTCCTGCCTCAGTCAACTGTTCTCCGTCACCCCAACACCATATACTGACCACTCCCAGGTATATCGAGCGCTGGCAAAAGCAGCACGGAAAGCGTCTTGACCATGACGAGCGAGTCCGCAAGCGCCAAGCCCGTGAAGTCCACCAGCAATCCAAGGATGCCCAGAACTTGCGTGGTCTGAGGGCCAAGCTGTACCAGCAGAAGCGCCATGCCGAGAAGATCCAGATGAGGAAGCGCATCAAGGCGCAGGAGGAGAAGAATGTCAAGTCTTCCGCGCCCGACGAGCCATCCAAGACGCCTTTGCCCCAGTATCTGCTCGACCGTTCCCAGGCCACCAATGCCAAGGCACTTTCCAGCGCTATCAAGGATAAGCGTAAGGAACAGGCCGCCAAGTTCGCGGTGCCTCTGCCTAAGGTCAAGGGTATCAGTGAGGAGGAGATGTTCAAGGTTGTCAACACCGGAAAGAAGACGCATAAGAAGTCCTGGAAGAGAATGATCACGAAGCCCACTTTCGTCGGCAATGACTTCACCCGTGTGAACCCCAAGCGTGAACGTTTCATCAGACCCATGGGTTTGCGTTATAAGAAGGCCAACGTCACACAGTATGTTCTTCCCTCCTTTGCAAGGAATTGTTGCTGATGGTTATTCCTATTTAGCCCCGAGCTGGGAGTCACTGTTCAACTACCCATTATTTCGGTTAAGAAGAACCCCCAGAACCCACTGTACACTTCTCTGGGTGTTTTGACCAAGGGAACGGTATGTTCTGCTTCTGTCCCGCCTTCCGATGAAATGCTTGCTAACCCTAAGAAAGATTGTCGAAGTGAACGTTTCGGAACTAGGCCTGGTAACAACCAGTGGACGCGTTGTCTGGGGTAAATACGCACAGATCAGTAACGTAAATATGCCTGGAACTTGTTTGAAAGGAGCAATCCGATATGCTAATCGTCTATCTAGAACCCTGAAAACGACGGCTGCGTCAACGCGTATGTTTCCCCAGCCTTGCTGCCCTTTTGACTACTTAGATTGCTAACTTTCGGTCCACAGTGTTCTCCTCGTTTAATCATTCTACGGTCGACGTTCATGAATCAGCCCTACCACTTACATTCTTCATCTTCGATACCATCTGATGTCATAGAATTTTTGTCTTTGGCTTTCCGTTCTTCCCTTACTCGCCGGCGGCGTTCGAGGCGCGCAATGTGTCATTTATCAAAAGTATCGTCTTGATCCATATCCGATTGCAATTGTATTGGAACATCATTCGCTGCAGTATATCTTCGTAGGCCTATTCTTTAGGTTATCAGTTCACGTACAGCCAGCTTTTCTATTGTGGCTCCACTCGACGGCCCAGTGGTTAGATAGATCCTTGCCAGGCAGCAAACAAGGGTACCGACCAGTCGGGCTGGCCACGTCGCCTGTTCGCTTCCATAGCTGTCCTATCCAGTATAAAGAAGCAATCTCCCAACCAGGCTAAGCGCTGAGATCCAGCACTACCCTCGCCACGCTCCTACTCAGCACGTGAGTCGTATACCCTTGCTCGCTAGTAGCAGCCAGGGTCAAGCCTGCTGCTTCCCAACGTATTAAACTCTTCATTTCCTTGCAAAATCCCTTTCCTCCCATCTCTCTTTCTTGATCAGCCCTCTTTTACTCTTCATCTTTTCCCCCCTCTAGGGCTAACTACACCACTCTATAAGATCATCACCTACTCCAACTCCAACATGAAACTCCTTACCTACCTCTCCCTCCTCCTCGGCATCTCCACAACTACCGCCCTCGCCGCTCTCCGCCCAGACGCAACCCCCGACGAGGTCGCCGCGGCGGAAGCCGAGTGCGGATCCCTGGGCGTGATGAGGATTGACCCGGCAGAGCTGCCCGAGGGCGTTACGATGGCCGACGTCCGCATGTGCGCCGAGCATCCCCTCGGCCCCGGGGCATACCCGGGTCCCGGTCCTGGGGCTTTCGCCAAGTTCCGTCAGTTCTTACCGAGTTGGGTGTTTTGAGAGGACGGCCCGGGAGCTGGGTCGAGACCCTGTAGGCAGTCCGGTTCTGGTTGCCTGTGCTGTGCGGTGGGAGCAGCCATTTTGGGAATAGAACTCTGGGAAATGTATGGTGTCGTTTAATGTTGATTGTTGGAAACAAGCTTGATTGATATAGTCTAGTTGGAGGATAATATTCAGATATGACAAATGTGTAACATCAACGATAATAGATAGTATTCATTACAGACCGATTATGTCGAGCTCTGAGGGCAAAGATTAGGGCTATAGTGTGTACAGGAACACAGGTTGAACTTGCGTATACTATCTGATATCTTTGTGGTTTAGTTTTTGATCAGATGCAAGTATATATTTCTTCACGTCGCCGACACATATGGCACTTTGGCAGATACCTCACCGCCTGTATTCCCCCACTCGAAAGGGACATACCAAGAGCTAATACCTCGAGTAGAGTATGCTTATACTAGCGTGAATGAGGCTACTTGGATGTGGTTGTATTGCGGGGCAGTGCCGATGGGGATTTATAAGTAACAAGAGATCTGTTGTGTAGGTAGGTCACGTATTACCCACACTAAAAAGCTCTTCGAGATAACACACAAGGTTATATTTGAATGAATGCTATTATATTCCAAGTATACTCAAACTCCCAACCCACGCTGAATTTACAGCTTCCAATGCATCCATGAGTGACAAAAGATCCATATACAATGCCCAAACGTGTCCTCAAAACACCAAGTCCGTGTACCCAAAAGGTAATATTATAGATCCAAGAAGTGCAAAACAAAGGAAATACTCCACGCTGGGCGGAACCAGTCCAATAGGCAGGCATGAACGCCGGATCGTCGGATCATTCAGGATATCAAACAAGAAATATTCGAGGGCCAACATAAAACAAAAGAAATTAGTCGAGTCAAGTGTCATCATGCGTTCTCTTCCAATGCTGCTTTGATCTTTGCAAAAAATCCAGCAGGCCAAGCCGCGAGTTCTTCCTCCTTGGGGATGCCGCGCACCTTGCAGTGATTTACTACATTCACCAAAATCCTGTTGAGCATTTCCTGGGTGACGGGAACAGCTCCTTCAAGTTGCGCCTCAGGGTATAAGAATGGGTCCCTCTGAGCCAGGAGTTGATCCACGGTCGGTCGTAATGTCTGATCACGTTGCAAGCACCCCTTCAACGTCCGGATCAGTCCTGGGGGTATGAGCGCTCCTCCAACTCCAAAGGCGGGGAAATCAATCTTGACATTTGGATTGGGGATGGCCAAGATGCGCTCATAGTATTTGGCGATCTTTGCAAAAGGAGGCTGGCCATACACCATCTTATAGAGAATACAACCCAAGCTCCAGACGTCGCTCGGCTTACCAAGCTTCATCACTTTTCCAACGCTTGCCGGCAACCCGAGCGAGGCGTTCGAATCAACCAAAGCTTCTGGTGACATATAGTTTGGCGTACCAACTTGCTGTTCACGGTGTACGTTGACCGTATTGTCCTGGATGGCGTTCGCGATTCCGAAGTCGATCAGTTTCAGCCTCCCTTGTACAAGAAGGAAGTTTGCGGGCTTCAAGTCCGAATGAACAATGTTGTAGTTATGGACTGCTTGAACACACTCCAGCATCTCCTTCCAGTAATACCGAGTAAAGTTGATATCAAAAACAGCATCCTCGGCGTTGAGTCGGTATGTCAGTATCTTCTCTAGATCAGACTCTCCAATTTCCATGAGTACGCTGAGAGTATGTTTGTCGGAGTTCAACTCCCAGTCAAACAAGCGTACGACACGGTCCAGGTTTTCCAATTTCTTGAGTAGGTCAATTTCTCCCTTGTAGCCAGCCAATGTTACGGGATCGACATCCTCCAAGTTCACCCGTTTTAGGGCAAAAATCTTGTAGTTCTCAGCCATTACTCTATACACGCGCGAACTTCCGCCTCGGCCAATGCAGTCTAATCGCGTGAAGGGTTTGTGATTAACCGATACTTGATTGCGCTTTTTGCGGGATGAGGATGCGGTAGCCGCACCTCCTGTTGCTGTAGCAGTCTCAAGTACGGACATCTTTGGGGGGGGAGGGGCCGGTCTATGTGGGGTATTGTTGCTTCGAGTCGATAGGATCTTTCTGGGTGAATTTCCAGCTGGCGTTTCTAGGTTTTCTTTCCTTTCGTCCCCATGAGTCATTGAGAGCTTTTCTGGTTTGTCAAGCAAGTTAAACCCCTGTTGTTTCACACGTTTGAAGGTCGGTGGAGGCTCGTTCTCTTGATCGCGAGCTGCAGGTAGTGTGGGCGGAGGGGGGACTTTGAAAACAGGTTGATCCCTCGCGCTTGAAGGTTTGGATGATGACGCCTCTGATGATGAGCCAGGTGTCGATTTCGAGTATGACCCATAAGACTTGGGTGAAGAGGA